TTACAGTCAGGGAAGGAAATATTTGAACCCTAATTCATTTTGTAAGTTTGCCCACTAACAAAGAAAGGATCAGCCTATAATTTCACTGGTAAGGTCATTTAGACAGTGAGATTCAGGACAATCACAAAAATGCATTTCATTCGCGCTCAATGGATGTGGCGCAACACACCGGGTTACAAAAATGGCTGAAGCGCCACACAATGTGACGTTAAACTCAGAGCACGAACCAGTTAAAGGTGGTCAGCACCATACCTCCCTTGTGGGAAGGGACCCCACTTTGGACAAGAATGTAGATCCACCAGTAATTGATCCAGCTGGAGGTAACAACTTGTTCCTTTCGTCACTTTATCTGGCTGAAGACCATAACCTCAAACTTAGAGGTGCTTCTTCACACTCAGCTGTTAATTGCCACAGAGCGTCCTCCACCCACGAGGAACAAGCTCTCACTGTCCTGCTGTAGCATCAGATTGTTTACTAGAAGCTGCACTTTCTGCTGATATAACTCTTATCTTTGTAATCCTGTAGTACGAATATAAAGTGAGTTGTGCTGACCTTGTGAGGCTGGTGGCGCTGGGCTGTGCTGGCTTGATCTCCTCTTGTTCAGGTGCAGAATGAGCAGGTAGAACATCACAGCTCCAAACACCAGGAACCAGCCATACTGGGCCACGAACTCCTCAACTACAGTCATTCAATTACAACAGAAATAAACAATAATCGAAGTAGCTGTGATATTTTTAACAACGAAACGATGGAAACGACATTTTTTTCCAATAAATACAATCTTAAAAGAATAAAATAGTAAATATTTGGGGGTTTATCTACAGCTCAACATGTCGCCTTCATCCCACCTTAACATGAGCTACCGTGGAGCGACAGATACGTCTTACGAACGTTAGTAACTGTATTCCTTATTCTTTATTATTTACGTTGGTTAATTAAACGTACAAGCTTACCAGTCAGGCTTAGGGAACTCAAGTCTTGGTTTTTTAAGGGCGGCTTCTTCACATGGAAAGTGGACTCATCGTCTTCGATCGTTACATCATCCATCCCGCACTCAAACGAGCTTCCGGC